ATCCTTCTCATCTTCGAACTCGACCGAGATATTGTTAAGACTGAACTTTGCAAAAAATTTCATCGCGATCTGACTCTCCTTTCGAAAGTTATCGTGTATACGGACGGCCGGCCGGACAAACAGACCGATTTTAGTAGTGTACTCACTTTTTGAGTACACAAAAATCAATATTTTTTCTTGTTTTTTATGTGTTCTTGTTCTCTCTTCCTTCTTCTCTCTTTTTTCCTTATTCTCATTATGCGTTTTTTACAGCAACATCATCTACACATCCAATCATTGGTCATATACATTTTATTCGTCAAGGTGTTGCATCACTTTTTGACCTGATGGATAGTACAGATTTTTCATCATCAGAGACAAATACATCATCATCATCATCATCATTAAGTAAAATAAAATCACATAAACCAAACAAGCATTATTGTTTGGTGCGAAATATTGAAAACAATAAAGTGACTGTATTGGTTATTACGAGCTTCAATGGAAAAGATCCTACAAACATTACAAATGATGTTGTTGTTCCTATGTTATCAAGAAATTTTTTATTAAACAGACTTATAGCAATTAATAAAACAAAACCCATTCGAGGAAAAAAATGCATAAGATCAAAACCAACTTCAAATGCTTCTGTTATGCTTTATGGTTATTTAATATTAATAGAAACATTTGCTGCAAATGATACAGTATGGCCGGTAGAGCCCGTCGGGTAGGACCCGGACCCGTACCCGACCCGGACCCGCTCGGGTCCGGGTCCGGGTTCGGGTCTAAAAATTTCGTTTTGGTCGGGTCCGGGTCGGGTTCCGGGTCTGAAATTTTTTTGTGACCGGGTCCGGGCCGGGTCCAGATCTAAAGAAAACTTTGATGCATACAATGTATTGGGAATTTTTTCAAAGTTTTGTTCGTTTCATGAAGAAAAAAATTGAATGTATTTAGAAAATATACAAAAAAGCAACAAAAGACTTTTTGAATATATTATCGAAACTGATTTATCATCGTGGTTGGATCCAAAAAATTTAAGCGGCCGGGTCCGGGTCGAATCCGGATCCAACATTTTTTAAACAAGCGGGTCCGGGTCGGGTCCGGGTCCAACCTTTTTTAAACAAGCGGGTCCGGGTCCGGGTACAAGTGTAGCAAATTGTAAACGGGTCCGGGTTCGGGTCCAAAAATTTTGGACCCGACGGGGTCTAATGGCCGGAGCCAATTTCGGAAGTTTTCTGTTCTTCTGATATGCATTATATAGATTTTCGCCTTCGAAAGCTTGCTAATGAAGAGAAATTAACAAGCAGCTGCAATAATGATATTAATGCAAGTACCAAATCATCCGAGTCTATACCAATTGGTCGAACATTTATGAATGAAGAATATGATCTAAGGAAATTGTATACGGAAGAATGGTTAAAACAAAGTAAAATAAAATGATACTAAACGAATAACAAATACATTTTTTTGTAGATAGGTTCAGTTA